TTGCACTCTGAATTTCTCTTTGTACCAATGCCGTTTCGATAAAATTTAGAAACATTATATGATGTGATGCTTTTTCGGCACCTATATTAACAGCTTTTTTATAGTATTCAAGTGCTTTGTTATAATCTTGATCAACCCCCTTTCCCGTTTCATAACAACCACCAACCGCAGTAGCATGATCTAAATCAGCCGATCTCTTACAATATTCAAATAATTTCTGATAATTTCTTTTTACTCCAATTCCATATTTATAACAAATACTAACATCATTCATTGCAGTCGAATTTCCTAGTTCAGCTGCTTTCATATAGTATTCAAAAGCTTTCTTTTCATCTTTCTCAACACCAATACCACGTTCATAATTGCAACCAAGTTTACGAAGTTGTTTAGAGTCCATTCTTTTTAAAGAAAAATCTAATACTAAATAAATACGTTTATTGTCTGGAGTGTACTGAATTTATGTTAGTCAAATTGATACAAAAGCTGAATCAATTGTTACATTTTTGATTATTTCACTAGTTAATTTATATTGTTGCATCAAAAACGATATTTCGAAAATTTTACTGCGTGCATATTTATATTTTAGTGTTACAAAACCAAATTTTTGACTGAAGTCATATGTACGTACGTTGTAAAAGGCCTCCGGGCCCCTTAGTATTTTTTTTATGTTATTTTTTTTATATTGATATATTATTTTTCTTTTATTATATCGTTATCCGTCCTTTTTTTTATATTGTTATTCTGTCGGCACAGCCCCGTTTTAGAATAGTAAGTTTCCCGTACCCGATTTGAAAGCACTTCGGTTGAATTATCCTTTGAATCTCATCGGGATCGTTATAATTCCCCAAAATAGTCAATTTGAGAATTTCGTAAATTTTGTGAATTATGAGAATTTTGAGAATTTCGGGAATTTTATGAATTATGTGAATTTCGGGAATTTTGGGAATTGTGTGAATTTTAAATGGTGTAAACGAAAAAGTCTCAGATTAAAATGAATCATTAATGTACTTACTATTAGCACTAATGTTTCGGGCGAAATTGTTTTTCATTTCCGAAGTATTTCGGATTTAGCAAGGTGGTCCGAAATAAAAATTCCAAATTCTGAAATCAAGACGAAAATCCGATATAAATCCGATAAAATCCGATACTTCCGATATTTCCGATATTATTTCGAATACAGTACTTCCCAAAACCGATCCTGTCAAAGTTGATAACCTGTCAAATCTCATAAAAAATCAATCCACCAGGTCTATTTCCGCTACTTGAATCTAATAATTTTTAAATCTGATGACATCTCAATACTGATATAAAATCTGTCCACCAAGCATATCGGTTTTGGGAAGTTAAACAGTATGTATCTTTTAATGAATGAAACATTGTGTTCCAATTATTTATATATATTCGAAGTGCATTACTGTATTAACGATCTTTACATATACATAAGTAGTTAATGTGGGCAAAATGAAAAATATTCACGAATTTAAATGCTGTTAAAACTCCCCAAAACTGACATACATGGTGGATAGATTTTGTATCAGCATTGAAAGGTCATCAGTTTTGAAAGGTCATCAGTTTTGAAAACATTATAAACTATTAGCGAAAACAGGCTTGGTGAATTAAATAGTTATAATGTTATCAAAATGTATGACCTCAATACTGATACAAAATTTGTCAACCATGCATATCGATTTTGGAAAGTTTAACAGCGGGCAGCGAAGCTCCCCGCATGCGCAATTGTCTAATTAACATATGAATTACAAAATTACGAACCAAAAAAACTTTCACATTATTGAATCACGTTAAACATGACCAACCATATCTTCGGACAATTTCGGACTCTTCGGATTGAGTCTAAAATATGGGCAATTGCGGATTTTGTCAGACATTTCGAAAATTTGCATGCTCGGATTTGGCGAAACATTTGGTCTCGCCCGAAACATTAGCCCACACCATACTGATCTGTGTAAGTTACAATACCATATTTTGCACATTAGCTGTTCTTTTTTAAGAGGTAAAAATAAGTGAACAAAAATAACCTTATTGCACGGGTCTTATGTAACAACCCGTGCTTTTTACATTTACTTATTGGCACGGGATTGTTACGTCAGACACCGTGCAATAAGATAGTTATTGTATTGGTATGTTGAATAACCCAGTTACACACACGGGTTCATATTTAAATCCGTGCCTTCGGCACGGAATATGAACCCGTGTGTAACTGGGTTATTTACCACATACCCATACAATAACTATAATTTACGATACATGATACTGTAAGGTCATTTTCAAGGCAAAGACCCATATACAGAACCTAAAATTTGTCAATCTAATCTGCTAAGAAATAGAAGAACATTAAAACCTTTATTAAAGAAAGAAATATTTATATTATTATTTCTGTATGTCCTAACGTTCTGAAAAATATTGAAAAATGAAAGTATTAAATTTTTCATTGCTATTAATTTTTAGAAAAAATAAAGAAATTATATTGATTTTATTAAACTTAACTGTTATAAGATCGAAAACAGAAGTTTATTAATTTCGATGACCGATCTATCACTATAAATTAATCACGATTAGTTGTTAAATATTATTATTAATTAATAGTATATATTAATATCAATCCTCGGGCTGAAATATATGTTGTTAATTACTAAATATAATGCGCTAATTCGAACCAAAAAGTACAAATGAGTGCTGCCAAGAGAAAACCTAGAATTCTTAATTTTCGGAAACTCCACTTTTAGAAACAGACAATATCGAAAATGAAATTTTGGAAACTACAGCTAAATGATCATCAGGTAACACAAAATAAGATAACCTGAACAGGCCAATCAGATTCGTCTATTCTGGATACACGACACGGCTAAAATTTTACTATATATATGAATGAAATAAATCACTAAGCGGACGGCTTAAAAATTTAAAAAAGTATCGATTCGAATAATTGGTTTGTAATTGCTATTTCCGTAAAAATTAAATGTTTATTTAACATTTATTCTTACACATTAATACTAATTCTCTAGCTCTTCACAATCGAATAAAAAAGCTCTTTTTTCGGTAGTTTTTTTCGAATCATTTCATCACAAACTTAAATAAACGAATATGAGTGGACAGCCAAGTAGGAACTAAAATTTTGGCTTTATTTTTTATTATTTATTATCTTTTTTCTTTTTTTTAAAAAAAAAAATTATTTTATTTATTTTAAATTATTTTATCTTATTTTACTTTATTTTAAATTATTTTCTTTTTTTTTTTAAAAAAAAAATTATTTTATTTATTTTAAATTATTTTATCTTATTTTACTTTATTTTAAATTATTTTATTTTATTTTTAAATTATTTTTTTGTTTTATATTTACCGTATAACCATGAAATAGCGCATAGGGAGTTATTTCGAATTTCGGCCTGAATTTAGGCCAAAATTCGAGACCACACCAAATCACGTTATTTCGTGGTTATACGGTATTTTTTTAAGTTTTACTTTTTTTATATGTTCATTTTACCGGGGGCATCAAAGGGGAGGGGGAAGGGGTGATGTTAACCGAAAAATTAACTTCAAACGGCCTTACCCATATTTAATTGATATTAAACATAAAATTCTTACTAAAACATATAATCAATAGACCTTCTTGAATACAACACGTAAAAAACCATTAATAAACAATGCACCTTCCATGGTGAATCGTCTTCCTCGAACAAAAATGTATTTTTTTGAGCACTTATTCCTGAAAAATTCCAGTCATAGTGTCATGATAGCGTTCTTTTGTCACAGGCAGTTTCATCTAAAAAAAAAAAAAAAAACTAGAGATAGGTATAATTTTACTGTTAATTAGTCACTGAAACTTACGTATATTACAGTATTATATCAATTTTTATTGAATTTATTATTATTATGCCGAAATAATAACTTAACCGGTGGGAGAGCTTATAGGGTCTTGGACCAATTTAGCTTCGATCGTGAACAAATAATGGTCAATGTTAAATGGTTTAAACCGATAAACTAACACAAATAATTACGGTTTAAGGTTTCTCTTTATTATCATAAATTAATACATCGGAATATTACAATAATACTCAAAATACTATTAACTACTGTTCGCAAACTGAAACTACACCCTTGTACATCTTTAATTCGTGTAGGATTTTAATCTCTCACTGAGCATCGTTGAGGTTATTATCCCCCAACTATGCCACAAACTATACCAAAATAAGAAGTACATGAAATTATAATAGAATAATATGACACTAACAAAAAATAAAATTTTGAGCATAACATCAGATCGGCTAAAAATCACCCGGCAAATTTTTATCAGGTGTTTCAGAAGCTAATAATAGCTATAATGGTCCCACGGTCCTTATTGGACCCCGGACTGGTCTTTTTCAGGACCGATGCATCCTTAGCGTTAATAAACCCGAAACAAAGCACAATTATGATTTTATGCTAATTTTATCACGGAATGTGCGAATTGGTCTTACACTCAGGGTCTGTACATTATTCAGTGCACATAAAGTGTCATATATAAAACGTCTTATTTCCCGTGTAGTAATTCCAGGAAAAATCATGAATCAAAAAAGTTATTGATCGACTTATCTAACACAAATTAATGCATATAACCAAAATAAGGTACGTACGTAATATAAAATACATGTAATCATAACTATGAGTTAACATAATTAAGCTAATTAGATGAAACTTTTATCGGTTACTGTCTTTAAAACTATTATAAACTCACACTTGCGCACACCTTATGCATGCAAGATAGTATGTAGGCATAAACATCACACACATGGTGCCCATCTCTAATCATAAAACAAGTAAAATATCGTTAGTAATGAATCATGTAAAGTATAAAAATGTTAAAATTTCTATATATCAAAATATTTTCTAACATTTCCACCTCTCTGACATATCTTCTTCAATATATCACTCTCCCATTTTTTATTTTTTATTATTCTCTCACTATGGTAAAATACTTGAATATCCTAATGTTTCTTGCAATCATGTCTTTCTTTCTAAGCATGTCAAATGGCAACATTTTAAGGAGGGATATTAAGTGTGGTCCAACTTCATGCACCACAGTAACTATTATTTTTACTACTGTGTTATTTTGAATATCATTAGCATTATTAATTATGCATTATTTATTTGATTAGTCAAATACTATATGTTGTATTTCTGCTGATAACAATGCTGGAGCATGTTGCCAACCGGTAATTTATTTATTAATTCAATATTTTTGAGTATTCCTAGTATTACAATGTTATTAACGTGTTCTCTTGACCTGGTCAGAGTAACTTTTGCTTTAGTGGTCAAAGTACTGCCATTTGTTGCGAGTTGGTAATTCTATTTCATTAACTAATACATTGTCTAAATGATTAGCATTATTAACTGTGAATTTTCTTTGACTTGTTCAGAATCAAATAGGGTGTGGTGGCAATTGTGTTCAATGAGTAATTTTATTTTTCCAATTCCTTATTTTTGAAAATCATTAAAATCACTAACTAGATTTTCTTTCTTTAATCTTCTAGGAGTCTGGTGATCAAATATGTTGTCCTGATGGTAAAACTATTTGCCCAAAGGTAATTTATTTATTAATTTGTTCTTTTGAGTATCATTAATTAGTATTAATAATGTATTATCTTTGATTTAACCAGAATCAATGTGGTGGTGATGCTACTCAATCCGTTTGTTGTGAAGAAGTAATTATTAATGCATATTATTTGAGTATTTTAACATAGTACTATTATTGTGTTAACTGTGAATTTTCTTCAATATGACTAGCTTACAATTGCTTGTAATGGTATTTGTTGTGGCCCGGTAATTTTATTTTTCTAATTCCTTCAAATATTATTAGAATTAATACTAAATTTTTTTTTTAATTTGCTTAGGGACAAAGTTGTTTTAAAATACTTGTCAATAAAAAATTGAGTTATACAGCCTCAGGATCCTAATCTTATCAAATTTTTCTTATTATTATTACAATTTATCTTTTTATTTTTTATTTTCCTATATTAGTTACATGATTTGCTATACATATATTACATATAAATTTTTTATACATAAAATTGTAATAAAAAAACTATAAACTTTGTAGTCTTATCTAATTAATTATATAAAACAAGAAGATAAAATTGTTTCACATATTTAACAAGTTACAATTTTGTTATTTTTGTATATTTTAAAAAATATAACTACATCAAAAAAAAAATTTTATTAAATTTAAAATGATAATTATATAAAAGTATGCTCTGAATAACTTTATTTAGAAAATAAGAAGAGATTATCTTGGTACAAAAATCGAGTTGACTATATATTATCGTGCTTTTCAAATTAGGGTAGCTGCATGACGCAACGGTGTTGCGCTAAAACCAGGAACGTGATATAATTACAATATGAGCACTAAGTACGACACTACAGGGTCACTATAAACCTAAGTACGATCACATGAGATTCTATTTTGGTAGGAATGATTTTTTTATTAATTCGTTGTTAGAAAGTTATGATTTTCAATTGTTCAGTGCATCGATTGATAATTAAAAGGTACGTATAATACTTACTATTATAAAAAATGTAATAATCATGACATTTGTCATGGCATAGCTATGTACGTACGTTGTAAAGGGGCCCGAGTGACCGCGATCTAATTTTTTTTCTGTCTTATTTATTTTTGTCTATTATTTTTATTATGTTATTATTATTATTATTATTTTTTTATTACAAAGTTGGGACAGTATGTGTTACTAAAAATAGAAATTTCATACCTGAGGCGATTTTGCTCCTCTAATTTTAAATTTGTTAAAACTAGCAACTAACTAATACATTGGAATAGCAGAAGTTAGTTAAAGACATTTATGTATGCAGTAAAGGTCAAAAGTATTTAAGTCCTATCTTTTCGCACCAATAAAAATCCAACTCAGTTGAGTTCAATAAAATTACCTTAATAAAATTCCTATTTTTGTACACCAAGTTACCGATCGTTTTGAATATAAAGAAAATACAATAAAGAGTACAATTAGTCATCAAACCTATGCTTATATACAAATAAATTAAACTTTGATCGCATATCGAATGTCGATCAATAGAAAGTATCGAACCGAACTCTCATGACATGTGACCCCAAAACTGAGAAAGACCGAAATAAAGACTAAAAGAATCGTTAATGTTAGAATTACTCAAAGACACTATCA